ATATATATATATATATATATATATATATATATATATATATATATATATGATTTTTCCCCATGCAATTTGGCCTGTTGAATGGTGTCATTGTCTGGTTTGGGCAATTCTAATGTTGAGGCTTTCTATTATCTATAGAAAACACAATTTTTCAGCAGACCTTCTTTTCTTCTGGCTCTTTCAATCCTTCTGCCCCTTTTCTGTGATGTTCCTTGAACCCTAAGTAAAAGGTTGCATTTTACATATATCATTTCGAGCACAATGGTCACTTGCTCTCTGTATTCTGGTCAGTTGAGTCTTTCTGTAGTGGTTTTTCTCTGCTACATAAAAGAAGCATACTTAACAGTAATTTTTTTAAATTAAAGGTGTGTTCATCAATGAATGCACAACAAAAGCTAACCTTGAACATAAAATACTAATAAAGTAATTTCAAAGTACACACTATTCAAAGTCCAATGTACTGTAATAATAAGATACTAAATTTTCTATTTCTAGCATTTGCTTATCCTTTTAAGTTAATATTTACATATAATGTATAAATAATAATCATGCATAATGAATGCTAATATACATATGTTATTTTACTCAAGAATGTATAATTTAAACATTTCTTAGCCTGTGCTATATAAAAAAAGAATAATTAAATTGGAAGTAGTATGGAAGACAGAGTGAAGAGCAGCAACACAAATCATGAATTTCCAAATGAAATTCTGTTGCATCATCTTGTAAGTTATGTAGCCGGATGTTAGTTGAAGAAAGATTCTTAACAGTAAGATTTTTCAATTAGGAAAGTTAGTACCTGATCTCAAACTCATTTTTACATATGAAGAATTCTGAGGACCAGCAAATATAAGAAATAGTCTCTGTTTCATGGTTGGCAAATAGATATGTAGCACAAAGGTATAGAATCAAAACTTTCTTAACATATGTTTTTCTATGATATAATATAATACATAGAGACATTTGAATAAATATATATGTAGATATCTACAGAAAACTTGCATAATTTATCTCTATCCTGTATACACACACATACACACACATACAAATGTCTGAATCAGCTTCTAGAATGCTCATTTAAAGGCATGTATTTTTTTAAGACTTACTTTTCTAAATTATTTGTATGCGTGTGTGGTGGAGTATATACAGTACTATCCTTGCATGTGCTCACAGAAGCCAGAAGTGTCAGATCCCTGGAGTTGGAGTGATAGACAGTTTCAAGTAGCCAGAAATGATTGCTGGAAACAGAACCTCCATCCACTGGGAGTGTAGCAATTACCACTGAGCCATCACTCCAGTTCTATAGCATTATTATTTTAATTACAATTTTAAAAGTGTAAAGGTGCTTCTACTTTTCTCTTGAGAACTAAAATCATAAACATGACACAATTGAGAGCACATCCTAAATAAACGAGGAGATATCGAAAGTATACAGGTAATTCAAACACATTTTATTTTTAATATCCTGAAAATCTCTGTATATTTCTTCTAAAGTAAGTACACTGTGAAAACTTTAAGCCTGAACTGATCTAGCTTGTACTAGAAAACTAGTAAGTTGAGAAACGGCAGAGTACACAGAATTGCAATAGGTAAGCACTTGGATAAGATCGTACAATTACTGTAATGTAATCTTTGTTGCTTAAATTTCATGCCAGGACTTTAGTTTGTGTAAGTCGGGAAGCTTAGAGATTCATAACTTTTCTCTAAAGAGACTGAAATCTATACTATCAGAATGTAGTTTAAAACAGTTTCTAAAACACCGGGCTGAGCAGCCTTGGCTGAACTTCTGGGTTACACAAGTCTCAGAAAGCCTCTAAGGCAGCTGCAGCTCCTCCCTGTTCCGCCCGGCTCCTTAGCAAGCCACAACTACATTTCCCAGAAGCGCGGCGGCGTTTACGTCAGTGCCCTGCTTTACGGCAGCATTTTACAGCATATCAAAGGGAAGGGTCGGTACGCTGTGGACTTTTCTGACATGGGGTCCTCATTTTCGAGTACTGTGGAAGTTTCCCCTTCTTCCTCCACAGATGCTTCCGCAAACCCACCAGCGAAAGCCTCCCAGCCGCTCCCCTCCGCACAGAATCGGGCGTTTAAAAACTGCTGGAGTTGTCGCGTGCTGTCTGGCTGTACATTCATAGGGGCGGGCACCTACGTCTACTTGAAGGCCCGGCGCCCCATGAAGCTAGGGATCCCACCTGGCCCAGGCACCGTAATGCAGATGGTCATCGGCATCAGTGAGCAGGAGTGGAGGGCGAGGGGTGGGTTGGGGGTGGGTGATTAGTGGGACAGCGGCTCCTTTCTCTTCACTGTCCTGTAAGAAAGATTCCCGAATGATCGATCTTTCTTCACCAATGCGAAGGTTAAATAAAATGCCTTACGAGGGGCATTGGATAAACTAAAATGTAATATACAAAAGGCAATTTTTTCTTCTTTTTTTCAGGTATTGCCTGTTGGGGTGTAGTTATTATGGTAGACCCCCAAGGGAAGGCCTACCGAGTTTGAAAATACCAGCAGTCCATTGTTGTCTCCTATCACTGGCTGCGCGGCAGAAAGAACAAGCGTTGGGTTGGTGGATATTCTTTGCACACATGGCCAAGGATGCACTTAACTATAGGACATACCGAGAAGACCGTGAAAATATGAGATGTCTTTCTTTGGCCATTGATGCTTACGGTTTACCCCGTCTCAGGTTATAAAAGGAACAAATAAATCCCTTGGAAGCAAACATGTTTCTCTGTCTTGTCCAGGGAGATTATGTGTTGTTCAATTTATACTAAAAGATAACGTTTTGAGAACATATTAAAATGGGATAAATGATAGGCCAATAGCGAAATAAAGTATTTTTTAAAATATAAGCAGTTCTTTTAATTTTTCTAATTGTATCAACAGCAATTGGCAACCTAACCCTGAATAGGTACATGAAAGTTGTCCATGTTTTCCAAATTATCTTCAAGTCCATCATGGGATGAGTGAAAGCTGCTGGTTTGTTATTTCATCTGTAAGCCGTGGACCTAGCCATTGGGTTTGCTTTGGTGGCTCATCAGCTTAGTGATGGAGTGAGTTTTTCTTCCTAGTTCTGTGTTTCACACCTGGGTTAGTATCAGAGGCAGGACTTCCTTTATACATTAAATGTCAATACATATTAAAAGACAAAAATGACAAAATATTTGAGAAAAATTCCAAAAGAAAAAAAAATATCTGTTTTTGGCTTTTTCAGTAGGTACTTAGGATGGATTCATAAGGGCTTAAAAAATTATAAGAGAAATGTGTGCTTCCTGTCAGTAACTGAGGCTTCTCTTTAGGTGGTTCTTCAAAGCATAAAGGTAGTATTAAATTCAGTACCAATTAATAAGTTTTGAGGCCTATCTTGAGCAAGTAATATTGGTCAGCTAGAACCTCTGTACAAGCTGGGAATCCCTGTCTTCCCTCCTTCCCCCAACCCTGCACAAACTGGGAAAACTGACAAAGAATGACACCCAAAGCCCAGTTCTACATGTCTGGCAGCCAGTGGAACCTGCCTTTCTGACATGGCCAGCCCACTCAAGTGCCTACCAATGTGTCCATCTTCTGACTATACATGGGCACAGCCTGAGCTCCTGGCTGACACATCATCCCCTGAGGTCTATCGAACCTTTCATCCTTAGCCCTGACTGTAACTTCCTCAGTCCTGGGCTTTGGGACTACAGAACTGACAGGGGAGGAGTGCCAAATAAATCTGTGTTTATTGCTTTTAATCTGGTCTGATCTGACCTATATTTGTATCATTCTATACATGAATGTGAATTATTTTGATCATACCTCCCCTGTTAATTGTTCTAACTGCATTACTATCTCTGGACTCCTTCCTTTCAACAGGTTCCCCTCTTGTCTTTTTTTGTTTGTTTGTCTTTTGTTTTTAATGACACACTGAGTTTAATTAGGATTGCTTGCATAAGTATAGGTGGGAGTCTTAAAGTAATGAAGCAAATTTTTTTGGGGGGGGGTATTTGTTTCTGGGTGCATCTGAAAATTGTTTATAATGACTGTAATGGTGCTATCTATCTATCTATCTAGTTTTTTCAACCTAACACTAGAGTTTTCTGGAAAGAAGAACCTCAATTAAAAAACAACAGCAAAATCCCCCTTTAAATTGCCTCTGGGCAAATCTGGGGCATTTTCTTGATTAATGATTATGTGGGAAGGCCTAGCCCACTGTAGATAGTACCACCCCTCACATGTAGTCCTGAACATTATTAAACACAGTTTGAGCAAGCTAAGGGAAACAACCCAGTAAGCATTACTTTCCAAGGTTATGGTTTCAGTTCCTGCTTCCAGGTTCCTGCCCCAACTTCCTACCTTGGCTTCCCTGATGATGGACTGTAACCTGCAAACCAAATAAACGTTTTTCTCCCCAAGCTGCTTGTGGTCATGATGTTTTATCACAGCAGTAGAAACCATAACTGAGACAAATAGTATATCTGAAAATAACATATATACCTTAGTCTACAATGTTAGTAATAAAAATGGTTATATTTATCTCAACCTTTAACACATATGTTTGGGGGTTTTGTTTTTTATTTCTTCTGAGAAGGGTCTTAGCCCTCATCCTGATTGCTAACTGCCTAGAGTGGTTGTTACTAAAAGGTGGGTGACTATAGCAGTGTTTCAAAATGGAAGTGAAGTTTACCATGCTTGATGGTCCTTTCCATCAAATATTTCTCTTCTCCAATGCTGTTTGATTCCATTGTACCCAGAAGAGAACTTCAAGATTAGAAATTATTCTCACAAACCCTACAGCTGTTGCGGCAACTACGTTTGTAAGATTCTCAATCACTTATTGACATTTCAACCAAGTTGAACCAACATCTTTACCAGTACCTTCCTTCTTGAGGAACCCCTCTCTGGTCAGTCATAGAGACTCTTCATTTATTAAAATTTTATCATGACATTAAAGCTATTTAGTCACTTTCACAAGTTCTACTTTGAATATTATTTGCTATTTTCAACATATCTTCATTTACTATTGCTATTAAAATCATTAAAGTCACTAAGAAATGAACAATTTCCTCTACACTCACATTAATGTTAATATTTTGGCCTCCTCTCATAAGTCAAAAATTCTTAATGGTGTTGAGGAATTGTGAATTGTTTTCAGTGTACTTGCTGAGGTCCACCAGAGGACTTCCTGTGACATCTATAGCTGTATGAAATGCATCTCTTAAATATAATTTGAAAGTTTTAAAATTATACATCTTTATCAAAGTTCATGGGTTACCCCATGTGTTGTCACTGAACGGAATCTGGTTTGGTTCCTTTTTGTGAACTCCTGTCAGTAGACCTCAACAGTGAACTTAAAATATCTAATAAGCTGTAATACAAACAGATGTGCTACTATCCAGGTGTGTTCTGTTTATAGAAGGAGTAGGTGTAGCACCATTCATAAAGTTCCTACAGTGTTCATAAATAGAGTGTTGCCTTCACTCTAAAGTTGCCAGCTTCATCAACCCCATCAGCCTGTGCTTTCAAGCTTTCATCACTTGAAGGTGGGCATTGTCTCTTCTGCACCCATGAACATTAGATAGCATCATTCTTCAATATAAACAAATATATTCAATGAAAGCAGGTATTGTCCTCTCTTCAGCTATGAACATACTAGATAGCGTCATTTTTCAATATAAGGATATATATTGAGTGCATAGTTTAGTGCAGCTCCTGTCATCAGTTACCCTAGTTAGATCTAAGGAACCTGCTTTAGCTCCTATGTCAGCCCTTGCTACTTCATTTTGCACTTTTATGTTATGGTTGCCCCCGGAACTTAATAATCAAAATGGAAACGCATTAACAGCAAATGTTTAGTGGATTGGAGAGATACATAAGTGTACATGTAAGAGGACAACCTTGGTCAGGTGTCTTTCTGCAGGCATTATCCATTTTATTTTTTATTTTATATTTGGCAAAGGGCCTCTCATTGGCCTAGAACTAACCAAGTAGACTAGATTGTCTGGAGCGCTCATTCTAAGGATCCACTTGACTGCCTGCTGCACACTTAGATTACAAACTTAAGCCCCATCCCTGTTTTTTTTTTTTTTAAGGTGGTTTCTGAGGTCCAAACTCAGGTCATTATGCTTTTTAAGGCATGATCTGGTCCAATATTGTTTCTTTTAAATTAAAAATTCAAGACTTTTCTTACTGAAATATTTTCACCCTGGGTATAAATTTTGGCATTTTGCGACAATATCATCCTTTGTTCCTATTACAGGATATGTTAAATTGTTTGAAGCCTTGTGATCAGCTGGCAAAGTATATAAGCCTGTTAAAGGAACCAACTACAGAGAAAACCTCAAGAATCATGGTAATGTAGGGATGCTGAGTTAGAGCTTTGCTTCCGTTCTTAACCAGTAGCTGAGACAGATGTTGATGGCAGCCCTAGCCAGGTCATCTGGAGAAGCCTCCTTGTAAAGACAGCGATTGCTGGTAACCCTGATTGAGAAGCTGAGCATCTCAGCCATATTTATTATTCACCTGCCCCTCCATTTAGTTTCTGCTCCCTGCTCCTTTTTACTATCTTCTTTTTAGTATCATTTATATCTGAAGTAGTAGCATCAGGAATACTGCCAGTTGATTTGACAATATAAATATGCTGCTCTTAAATGTATTTACAGGGCAATGCTCTGCACAAGTATCCCTCAAACTAGGCGTTGTTCCAACTGATGTTATGGTACCACTATAACATCAGTTTTGAGAATTGGTAAAAGCCGCCTCTTCTAAAATCCATGGAAGGAATGGTAAACAATTGTGAGTTGAAAAGTTAGTATGTTTTTTTAAAGTTACAGATAAACCCTTGCCTTGAACTAAGGATTCTGTAGATGACTAGGTAACATTGCCAAGATATGAGACACATCATTACACATCATTCTGCGTTATTCTGAGCAGCAGACATAATTATGTCACTACTTTAAAAGTCATGTCTCTTAGCCTTATTCGAGAATTCTTTATTCAGATGTAAATAGAGGCTAGAGAAAAAGCCAAAGTAACAGGTGTTAATTGAGGCAGCACTATTAAAAATGACTGCAGTCCTGTGACAGGATTTGTACTGGCCCTTGATAGACAAGATTTCATAGTCACAGATTCCTGCTCTCTTGGCATATACACCTCACAGTTAATTTAAACACATACCACCATAGATACTATAATGAAGGAATTTGTTGAAGTCATAATAAACATGTGATCAGTTAACCTAACAACAAAATTACCCAGAAAAATAAATCATAAAAGCTAATTAAGTCTTGGTTTGTGTTAGAGAGAAGGGAGTCAGATCTTAGAAGAATGAGGGTTATCCAATGTTCTACAAGGTCTTTGGGGGCCTTGATGAAAGGAAACATACTCATCAACTTCCTTGTTAACCCCCAGATTATGGAATTTAAATCAATCTGAAGTTGTTAAGAATAATCTCCAGCAGACAGCTAGAAGTGAAGCAATACCTTGAACACTACAATTACAAGAACTCAATTTTTGTCAACAGTCAACTTGGAAGAGGACCTCTTGAGAACCAAGAACTACAGCTCACCCAAAATCCTAATCTCGGTCTAGTGAGACTCAGCAATCTTCCTGCAAAACGGTCATAATGAATTGTTTTCTAAATGTGGATGGTTATTTTGCTTGTGTATACATCTGTGTATGTGTTTGTCTGATACCTATAGAAGCCAAAAAAGGAATCCGATCACCAGGGAGTTTCAGATGGTTGTGAACCATGATGTAGGTGCTATGAATCAAACCTGAGGCTTTCAGAAGAGCACCCAGTGCTTTTGGTAGCTGAACTATCTCTCCAGCACCAGTAAAAGTTTGCTAAGTTTGTAATAGTTTGTTGAACAGC